GGCGAGGTACCTGCATCAGTGGATACAAGCTTCCCATGTCATAGGATCCTTACATCCACTCACTTTACCTCAGTTTCCGGTACAGCACTGTACTGTACCTTACCTTCCTTACGGGAGCGTACCTGATTAGCTTCTTGCCTTTCTTCAGAATCCCTTCCAAATCTACACCCCTCTAAAGAATTACTCCACTCCCCAAAGTTACTCTTCTCTCCCCCTCCCCCCTCTTTATTCTTCTCAGTCTTCCAGAAGCGTCAGGGACAGGGCTTCCTTTCCCATCCAAAACTCCAATTGTACGGGGGTCTATATTGAGGGAACACGACACATCTGGGTCTTTCACCGACAGCTGGACTGGAGTACACCCAGAACCCAGACAGGCACGGTACAACTCGGTAGATTTCACAAATCAAATGGTAACTGCCCTGACATGGGGATGTTATGTTATCCAAAGAGAGACCAAAGGAAAGGGAAGAGAGAGCACGGGCATCAACATCGTCCGTCCGTCCATCCTACCACCATCCACACACACGACCTGACATCTGGGGCTCTTTCTCGTTGGCGGGTACATTATCATCAATGACCCGTGGGAACCTAGCAGTGTTGTAACATTGAAGCTACCTACACTGCCGTACCTTTTTTTACCTTACCTTACTTTCCATACCTCGCATTGGCAGTCCCTTGTCCTGTTACTGCTACTGCACTGCCCTGCCCTGTCTTCCATCCATCGTCGTCTCTTCACTACCTAACCTACCAGGCTCAACCTCGTCTCGCTCGGTCGCTCGCTTTGTCTCCCGTCAACCTCCGTTCATCTACTCCATTGGGTACCCGTTGGCACTACCTTGTCTAGTCGGCATTTCCGCTTACCTCGTTGCTCGCTCGTGCCTCTTCCGTCGTTTATCTCCTGGACCCGTTGATGCAAGCCTCATCCCGGCCGCTCTTCCTACATCCCGGCTCTTCGTTTGCAAGGCCTGTCAAACGACATCATCATATCAGACTGAACTCTACTTTTCTATTCTTTACATTACCTTACCTTACATTGCCTTGCCTTGCAATTGCAACGATACCTACAACTGGCACAGACACCGACAAACAGCATTGGCATCTTTCCTCATACCCTCCCCCTTCCACAAAGTATAAAGACCTCTGGACCTCCTCTCGTTGTCATCGAGACCAGATCATATCAACGCCTTCCACAACTACTCACCCGGCCATTGCCTATTCTATTCTACTTCAATTCTTGTCCGCTACACCCTACAATACAACAGCAACCCTACTCTCTACCGTTGCATCGCAGTGTTAGCATCTGACAACACTCGGCCTCGAATACCTCGACGCTCCCACTACAACTATCGTGTAAGTTCTAGGAAAGGCGGGCATAAGGTTCCTTTGACGCCGCATCTTACATACAGCCATGTTGGGTTGTCTGATGTAGTATGCAAGGCTAATACTGTGCTCCCCAGGAACATAGCCGTACCCAATCAGGCCGAATCTTGTGAGAGGGTTCAGGAATCAAGACACAGCACTTTGGACAGCTTCTACACCCATTGTACCACCCACACAACAGCCACAGTCCCGACAAAATGGCCAACGCTTGCGCCCACCAATTCCGAATGATCAAGTCGGACAACACTCTTGTTCAATGGATCTGCCAGCACTGTCGCTCCGGCCCTCACTGGATGATCTGGGAGTGCGCTTATTGCAAGCTGCATCTATGCCGACCTTGTACGCAGTCTTCCTAAGGACCTGTTCCCAGGTTCTTATGCCGAGACATTGTTTGTCATCCACATGCGAAATGGGTGTGCTGAGCATTTGCTTTTGTTGCAGCGCTGGTCGTTCATGTGCTAGTTGGTGGCCATGCCCTGACTAACATGACGCGAGGCTCAACCCAAACGGAAAATGAATGGCTGCCTTGTTAGTCTCGGTGCAGGCGCACATCGAACAAGATCAAGCTCCATGAAGGACATTTTGATTGCGCTTGGCATTCTGCGGAACGGCAGCCCGGAGCTGGCTCTCTGGATGCACGGCTACCGAACCGTCACACACCCCTTACGTGCACCCATCATTCATTATCGCCCATCGTCAACGTATCACGCACGAAACGTCACTTGGAGTTATACCCACTGGTTTGAGGTTTTGAATCTGGCACAGCTGAGCTGAGCTGGGCTAAGCCTCAAAAGACAACATATCGCATGCAGAGAACCTGATACCTGACCGACACCTGAAGACGAAGAAGGCTGTCCGCTATAGTACGCCTATCTTGATTCATGCCAGCCTGAGGTGGGGAATGGAGATTCGGCCAAACGGTGGTATTTGGGGGTTGACTTTTGATTTTTTGCACTGGTTTCCATGACGGAATAGCGCCCTGCACGTTCCACGTGGGAGATTCCATTCACAGGGACATCAGGCCCGTTTTTGGAATTGTGCAGCACTAGTCACCCCTCCCCCTGTGGAATCCCCATCTCACCAACGCTGGTCTCGCTTGGCCTTACATTGCCCAAGCCAAGTCAAGTCAAGTCTATCAAAACGCAATGGATAGGGATGGAAAGGAATTTGAACGTGTCATGTTCTTGGGGAACCTCCTCCAATCTACGACGCGGTTCCGAATTTCCTTTTCAGGAAATCTGATCTGTTACAGGTGGTCCCTGACTGGTCTCTTTGGGGTATTTCCTCTTTTCTCTTTTCATTTCATTTTGTCTCTCGTCAATACCCGTCTTGTTTATTTCCTATTCGCATACAACAGGCGTTTGCTGGTTTCTTTCTTTTCCTTTCTTTTTTCTTGTCAGCGGGCGTACCCCAGAACTAGTCTCTCAGCCTGCTAGGGCAACTTGGCTACTGAGTGGATTCTGGAGGAAACAAAGAGGAAACGCCGTTATGATCTCATCCTATTGGAGCCAACAAAAGTTTCCGCTTGGCTTAGGGCGCATGGCAACACACTATGAATTTGACGATGCTGGGCTGGTTGGTGTTTGGGGTTGGCGCTTGAAATAGACTATGGCTCAAGCCAAAAAAGATACAAGGCGAATCAGGGGTCAAGTGGTTGAAAGAAAGCCAATATTGATTGTTTTGGATTTAATGGAAAACATTACTATTACATCTCATCTCGACTCGTATCTCTTCCACTAAGTGACCATGACCATCATTATCATCACCATCACCATTGGCGTGGTGGATACGAACTGAATCATTGGCAAAGCATTAGGTCCCAACCTGAGTACTTGTTGGTACTTAGTATCTGTACCTTGGATCCATGTAGTCGTCATGGGAGAGTTTTCCCAGTCTATCATATCCGTCTCATCGACAAGGCGGCTAACAACCATCTTCTGGACGAGGCTTGATTGGGCAGGCGGTACGCGTAGTTTACAACGTAGCTGCCTGCTAGTGGTGCCTTCCATGTCCAACTCCAACGACTGAGGTGGATGATTAGGAAAAAACCAACATCCTGCAATCTCCTCGAGGCATTGGCTACCCTACCATCAACTATCGTCCGCCTCGAGCTCGTATACAAACCCTGCCTCTACTATTGCAGCTGTAAAGCATCATCATTATTCACTGTAGATCTTTTGTCTCTGCGACACTACACACTACATTACACTTTTCCCTCCTCTCTTAGCACCTCGCGCTCGGTTTCTTTCCTCGCCCTGTGCGCAACAAGGGCCATCATCTGCCTTGCTACTCGAACAAGCTCATCGAATAACCATCCCAACCTCTAGTATCGGTATCTTGTGGCTGACGTGAAAAGGGCGCGCGTCATCCTTCACTGGGAAACCCGCGGCTGTGACGACAACGACGTGGTGTGTCGCAGCCTGTGTTGTGTCTGTGCAATGGCGCAGCGACAACCACTCTGCACTACTTCAAGGAGACACCGAAATTGAAGAACCATAACGAGGCGCTTCTATTCTCGGATTCGCAAAGCCCTGGCCTGATCGACGTCCCAGTAGCGCCGGCCCGCAAAAATCCAAAGCCCGCCAGAAGCCTTCCAGAATAACTTAGTTGGAAGTTGTCTCATATCGTGTCCACTCTGCACACGGAGCGCTCACAAGCCCATTCGCCCTCAAACAATATACTTATGTACAGTACATGATCAACGTCGACGCCCAGGCCAGGGTTTCAAATTACCGATGCGCCAACGCCTGACATACATACCAGCCTCGCAGATGTTTCAACGACTTGACGTGTTAAGACACCATATAGACTTTGTTGCTCAATCAATGGCTTGTTTCTTCCGAACCATCCTGAGTCATGCCAGCAACCTTAACAAATACCGCGAGGAAACGACACGCCCCCCTTGCCTGCCGGGTCCGTCATCCCGGCCGGCCGGCCGACACGGTCCCATCGGGGAACGTACCCAAAGCCCTGGAGGTGCTTTTGAATTGTCCGAGCATATCGTGGTATTCGTCGACGACTTGACACTTGCGTTGAATCATTGGATAACAAGTCTCTGCTCCATGTTTTGGTCAAACTCTCTTGATCCCTCGTGTCCGCATGGAAGGGCCACGGACATCCGTTGATGAGTTGTTTAACCCAATGTCACTCGACGGTCCAAGTCCCAGGTCGCATATGATCCAGATTATACTGGGTATCTTGTGTGACTAGTTTGCGTAACGTGATTGTCATACCTCGGCAAGTCTTAGACACAGGGTAATGGAACGTTTCCAGGTGCTTGGACAAGGTGCTTAATGTTGCGTGTTACTGCTCGCCTCCCGCCTGTTCTCCGGCCCTTTATGGACAATATGAAGACCGAAGAGGAGCCGCCCCGTCTCGGCGTCGGAGGTAAAGAGACAGGACCCCACCCCTCCGGCCTCCCGCGCCGAGATATTGCGGACACTGGGCGAGTGGCGGCCGGATACAAGGCTCATTATGGTCAAATGTGTCGAATACACTGCCTTGCTTTGCAGTAATCCTAGAGTTAAGATGATGCTCGTCCGAAGACACTCGCTTGCATCTGAAGTGGCATGCACTTGTCACTGATTCGGGCACAATGCTTGCAAGAAAGGAAGGTTCAATTAGGAAAAGAAAAGCCAACAAGGTAGCAATCCTAGCAAGGCCGCAATCGTCAGCCAGAACGAAAGGACTATAGAAATCTTTGGGTTTGTGTTAGAGAAACGATAATATCTGGCAGCCTTAGAATCACCCTGGGGCCAGTCACAGACAGCACGCTCAGCTTGACGCGCCGCCACCTCCACAGTGTCACCGACAGATACAGTGTGGTCTTGATCAGACTTGCTGGTAAGGAAACCATATCTGCCGAAAACTGGAGAGTATTTCATTCCAGCATCAACCCTTCGGTCAGACATGAGCTTCTTGAGTACCGTCCCACGCTCTCCCTGAGCTGTACGGCCTGTTGCGTAATCCACGTTGAGTGAAGTGCACCGGTTGCAATTCTTGGTAAGAGTTATAACGTGAGTTTCACTAATAACCAGCTGCGCCCAAAAGTCCTCATCCCATGCTGCTTCCCCATCCAGGACAATGTTAGGCCGCATCGCTTTCATGTCAACGTCGGATGCTGGTAGCCGGGTTCTGACGTTATTGAGAGACTCTTCCGTTGCGACGAGGTATGGAGCACAGTCAGAGAAGGTGAGCCAGTCGTCTTCGGTGGGAGATACAGTTTTCCCAGAAAGGCAGCTGACGAGCAATGAGGTCCATGAGGTAGTGTTTTGTGCCTTGGGAGAGAATGTTCCTAGCACAGGACGTCGACCATCACCAATGTAGATAAGAGCCGTATCAAACCCGAAGCAAGCGGTGAACCAGGCGTCATACTCGGAGCCCATACGATACGCAACGACACGACTTTGGTGGAGGTTGATGTCTGCCTTGGCCAGCTCATCAAGGTTTGGCTCAATCGGCACTTCAAGAACAGTGTCTTGTTCTGGTTTCCACGGCACAAGCGGCTCTTTCGGCGTCAGGTACTTGACCCGAATCTTATCGCCGACGACTTCTGGCTCAAATAGACTGCATTCCGGATGTTTGGATAACTGAAGTTTGGTAAGTTCACCGGACTTTTCGATCTTGCAGAGCATGAAACGGCGGTCATGCTGAAGGCCTTGTGGTCCTAATTTGGCTGATTGGACTTGGACACCTCTGATGCCCTTTATGGGATAATACCATAGCTTTTGAGTGCATGTTAGTAAAGGCTCTAGATCTGGTTGCGGATGGACTGACCTGGGTGACCTTCATGATTTGAGATTGTTGATGGGAAAGATAGATCTGGATTGCTAATCAGCATAACCCCTCCGATATGCAATTCGGCTCCCGCGGCCGAGTAACTCGTATCCAATCACGAATTGGGGAGTGAGTTGTTGGGGTTTTTGGGGGACTTTGTTTAGGGTAAGTAAGCGTCAGCGTGAAGAACTGGTTGTTGAGAGTATAGGAGATGGTAACTCAGTTACATTGTGATAGATTAGACTAGTTGTTCAGTAAATAGTACTATTCAATTGTATCACAGTTATCACTTCCGGATACACCGAAGTAAAAGTCAGTCTTAGAGGTAAGGAGGAATGTTCCGAGAGTCAACGGATGCCTCAACTGGTGCTTAACGAACAGCTGTAGTCTTGGAGATGCTGATTCTCTCTCCTTCAGCCTGAGGGCGTTGTGGTGTATAAGGAGACTGTTGCGGTTCGCGTAAATATGGGTTTTGCTACTGTCAAGTTGGAGTGGTCTGATAGGTAGTCTTCTACTCTACCTTGTCTGCTTCTTCCACTTCATCCTTGATATGAGCAGTAATCTGATCTCCATCTTTGTAGTCAGCCCGGAAAGAGGTCAGGATGCCCAGTTGCACCAGCTATAGCAATAACTTATAGGAGGTAGAATGCGAGTCTGGCTGTGATTGCATCTGCTTCAGATAATTCAATAACCTTGAAAATGTAATCTAAGATGATTGAAGCTGCGAGCTGATGGGACATTGTGTTGATGTGAAAGAAAGAAAAGGTCTAGAGTGAAGAAGGGAAATAGAAAGAGAGATATAGGTTACGTACCTACCTAGACGCTGCTGTTATAGAAGGAACGATAGCTCATGAATACACGGAATAGCAACTCCGTCAAATCTCCAAGTCCCTGAGCATCTGATGGGCAATTCAACTGCTCTTTATGCAGTCCTTTGACCATACTTTGAGCTTTAAGACATACCTTTATGCTATATGTCATGGTGGAGCTACATATCGAGAAATTAGATCAACTAGAAAGTTTCAACTACTACTCTGTATCCCAGTACACTTCGCCGCTTGGTGAGTACAAGTGGTTTGCAATATATTACAGTCTTGCAACAGGGGAAGTGCATTGAGTACTGATATGTCTTGACAGCAGAGCCGAGAAAACGTGGATGTTAGATAGTTTGCTTTTCAGAAATGACTAATCGAGATTCGGCAGATGTTGAATGGAGGGTAGATGTACAAGTAGAAGAGAAGTAGTGTGTATGAGGATATCGATAAATATAAGTATGTTGGTGTCTATGAATGTAAGAGTACGAGATGTTCTTGATATATTGCAGTGATTCACATTAGTTATGAAATCAGGACAAGTCACTAAACAGTACACTCTCGATCCAAACGTAGATGCCATCGGGGTATTAGAAGAATTGGCCACTGAGATCATAAGAGGCGAGGTAACTTAGTTACCTTATGGTAGCTTAGACTATTATCTAGACTACGTTATTCCATCGTCCTGAGCCTTAGAGGATAACTTTTCTGTTGACTACTTACCTATAAGCTATTTGTATCGATGAAGCTGCAGACGATGCCCGAGATACAAAGCAGTGGTGAACACTTTCTAGTTGAGCCGAGCTCTCGACACGTAGATCCAACATGACATAAGACAAATCTGTGCCTCCAAGCTTAAGGTACGATCATGCATGGGCAAAGTTGCTTGCATTTCCAGTCTATCGCTGTAGTGAGCCGAAACCAGCAATAGCTTTATGGCCCCCTTTGACTGTACTGTCCTGTTCAGAGTCGCAATGTCTCTTCAAGGTTGTAAGTCTGATCATATGTCTGTAAAGCGATATTGTCCTGTCATCATCCAAATATAAGAGTCTGACGGGCTGCGGGAGCCTCCGAGGTCGCCGATTATTTACGACAAAATGTTACCTGCGTTCTCCAACATGGAAATACTTTATTCCAACGTATATCGATGTCGTGCAACTGTCCGGTCCATGTTCTCTGGTATAGTCATTTGTCCTTGAGAATTACCAACATCGCCATAATACTGCCAAGGTACTCTACCAGGGTGGTAGTTGTATGGACCCTGGAAGTGTTTGAGCCTACTGCGCGGAGAAATCCTTCGGCATATGCTTCAGGAATCCCATGCGATGGAGCCAATCAAGTGTCATCGGTATTGTCACAACTTACACTGCCAGCTGGGAAACAGAGGGATCATCCTCGAAGGCTCAGAATGCTAAAAGAAAGTAGCCTAAGCTAGCATAAGGGAACCAGATTATTTCATCTCTTATGGTCACAGCGGCTAATCCTTCTGACAATGACCATGTGAGGCTATTCAACCAAGCTGCTGGCTTGTTGACAAATTTAGACATCAGACTATCCCAAATCATACACCAGATAGCTGATCATGTCATACAGCGCATCGTATTATAAAATCGCTTCCGGATCAGCTCCAAGCATACGCGACTGCTGATCACCACCTATCAGTAGCGATCTGCAACCTCAACCACAGAGGAGGCGCAGGCTGATATACAAGACCCCGCGATATCTCCCTGATTTCCGTATACATCGTAATAAAGTGACACCAATGCTGACATGACGACATGGATGTCCAAAGTGCCAAGATGCCTCGCTCTTCGGCACAGACAAATGCGAGGTTATGGCTGACACTAGCACGGCAAACCAGACGAAGGCATAAGATGCAAAACGTACGAGATAGTTCCTGAGCGGCCGCTGGAGGAGAAAAGAAGGATTCATCCAGGGTTTCATCGGTTGTCATGATGGAGTCGTTAAAATAATATGTGGATAATAAACAAGCAAGCACCACACCGCGTTCCGAGAGGCATTGCTGACAGGAACCAGGAATAAGGATGATGGAAGAGGCTGTGATGTTACAGCGCGATAACAAGCCTTTTGCGGTCAATTTCCCATGAAACTGACCAATCACACCACTGGAAAGACCGAGACAACCCGCCAGGAAATGGCAGATCAGCCCTATACTGAGCCGTTTTGCCCTTTCGCATCTCTTGTCAGTCTCGCTAAGCCTTAGATAGCTCTCCAGACTCCACCAGAGCTCAGCTAAATGCGCCTCGACCTAAGCTCCATCTGGTGAGACTCGGCGCTGGTACGACCCGCAAACCAGCCTCTGATGTAAAAAAAAACCAGGCCCTTGAACCTGTTCTCAAGGCATTGCGGTGACGTTTGCTGCAAGACGAAACAATGACTGCGTCTCAAGCCCCGTCAGATCAGGGGATAAATGTACAAGTTTAGACATTTCGTAGCGCAGCACTACGCCTCGTACATATCAACCGTGACCGCAGTGCCAAGAGATCAGCAACGATATCTGCAATTCACCGCAAAGCTCAAGTCTGACAAGCTCATTTGGGCTCCGCTCATGAATGACGGTACCCTGGAGGATTCTTTCGGAGACTAAAATCTCACAGACAGTCAAACATTGCCCTTTGGATCCATGGAAGGATTCCAACCCATGCACTTTTCATGGCAGATCTCTAGTCCGAGCCTCTGCATCGGATCCTGTCCATGGGTCTCGAGGCATGGTTCTGTGGTCCACTGCCGAAGAGAACGGTATTGTGCAAAATACCATTGAGCTTATAAAGATGTGAGCCCGCGCTCTGCTGACGTTTCCAATATGAGAGCAGTTGTTGTAAATCTCTTTTTCTTAACCAAGGCTTATTAAGAGCCTGTGTGGGAGTGTAGTTGTTGATATCACCCACACCTTATTAGACGACGCAATGTCTCTTTCACAATATGGCGTCGACGACGCAAAGGTACCGCAGCAACCTTTCCTTGCCGGCGAACGCCCTAGAGGACCGACCTTTCTCGATACAACCGCATGCCTTTGCAGTCTCCGTGCGCTGCCGGGACTGGATAAGATCGCTGAAGCCAACACGAACTTCAACAATGGCCAAGCAGCATGGCAATGTATCGGAAACCAAACCCAAGGTGTCTATAACATAACAACCGGGAAATGGTATGAAGCAAAGAACGGCAAAGGATCACTGAATCTGCCTATGGAAGATGCTTCGAACCCACCTGTTGGTGAAGATCTTGTCTGGAACTCCAAGAGCCGAACTCTCGAGCCATTGAAGGACAAGAACACTCTTACAGTCTACGATCGTGACTGTACCGGAACCAACAGATCAAGTTTCTCCACAAGCTTCTACAGAGCCACCAACCAGCTCTTGAACGATCAGCTTCCCATTGACGCGGCACCGTGCTGGAGACCTGGTGCTCTTCCCCTTCAATTACAGAATGTATCTTCGTGGCAGAGCGAAGGGTGCAAAGAAGGATTCCTTTGTAAGCGCTCTCGCAGTTCTTCCCAAAATATACGCTGACCAAAGCTAGGCCAAAACAACACCATCAACTCGTTGCCCCAATCCTGTCCTCCTTATCGAGAATGCACCGTTGCACGTCTTTCGGGTATGACTTGTTCGTTCAACGGCTCGAATTGGGGCATGGGAGTCTTCGAGCCAGTCGTTTGCCAGCAGGGCTACTATTGTCCTGTCGAAGACAAAGGTCTAAAGAAAATCCGTTGCCCCGCAGGTTCATATTGCCAGCCTGGTTCTTCTAAGCCAACGCCCTGCAATGTTGGCAGTAGTTGCCCAGAGGGTGCCACCTTCCAGCGCTATTTCATCCCGGTGATAATCATGGTTATCGTCGATGTCCTTCTCCTTGTAGGCATGTTCACCTTGATGTTCCGCTCACGATGGCAGAAAACATCAAAGGCGCATGCCGGTATGTTGAAGAGACATAATACCATGAGAGCTGTCAAGGCTACAATCACTGGAGGTGGGTACAAGGAGCTGTCGAACGATGTCGATAATGAGACGGCTCCAATGCAACCTAGCTATAGTCCTCAGTCGCCCTACGGACACAACTTCCGTGAGGGTCGCGCCCGAACTGGGTTCGAAGCTTCCCTCAACCGAAACAGCGTTTACAGCTCAGAAGCGGAGAAGAGAGAACTAGAAGCCAACCCCCAACTCAGAGCTTTTGTCGAGTCTATGCGAAGAGCAACTGAAGCCACCAACTTTGGTCTTTCCTTCAGGTACTCCGATCTTGTCTTCCATCCCAAGAAGAGCCCCAAGCCTATCCTCCAGAACGTGACTGGTTCCATCGAGCAAGGTCAACTTGTGGCTGTCATGGGCGGATCAGGAGCCGGTAAATCTACTTTCGTTAATGTCTTGATGGGTAAAACGAGCAACACAGGCGGCATCGTTGCTGTCAACAATACTCCAGGCAAGATGAAGCAGTACAAGAAGCTCACGGGCTACGTGCCTCAAGACGATATCGTGTTACCTGAGTTGACTGTGTATGAGAATATTATTCACTCGGCCCGGATTCGACTTCCTCATAACTGGACATCGAAGGAAATCGAAGATCATGTTGAGGCTGTCATCGATTGTCTAGAGCTGTCACACGTCCGCGATTCCCAGGTTGGTAGTGTCGGTAAGCCAGTCATCAGTGGTGGTCAGCGGAAGCGTGTAAGTATCGGCATGGAACTGGCAGCAGCGCCTATGGCTATCTTCCTTGATGAACCTACCAGTGGTTTGGATGCAACTGCAGCTTCGTCCATCATGCGTACACTCAAAGCTATCGCAAGACTCGGTATTTCCATCATTGTCATCATTCACCAGCCCCGAACCGAAATTTTCGATCTATTTGATAACCTTATCCTCCTTGGCAACGGACAGACCATCTATGAAGGTCCCCAGAGCGAGTCGCAGACTTATTTCGAGAGCATGGGATTCCAATTCCCCGAGCACAGCAACCATGGTGACGTGATCACGGATATCGTTACTGGTAACGGTCGAGAGTACAACAGCATGGGCGATGTGTCCAAGGAAGCCCTCATTTCTCACTGGGCAAAGATGCGCCAAAACAAGCAAGAAGAGGCTTATGAACGCAGAAGCATCCGATCCACGATGCTGGGTGATACAGGCATGCGTCAAGCCCTCAAAAAGCGTGGTGCACCTTACTATAAGCAAGCTTGGCTTTGTCTGTGTCGTGCTATGCTTCAGCAATACCGGGCGAGAGCTGCTTTCTTTGCCGAGATGGGTCTTGCTGTGCTAGCAGGCGCCCTGCTCGGTCTCGCCAACAATCCCAAAAATGGAATCATGTTTACTGGTCTGTTCCACGAGCCTTACGATGTCCTTTCAACCTCGATCGACTTCATTTCTGCGCCAAACTTCGCTCTCCTGATCGCCATTGCCATCGGCCTTGTTGCAGGTGCTCCTGGTGTCAAGCTCTTCTCTGAAGAGACTCTGCTATACAGGAGAGAGGCCGAAGCAGGCCACTCGCGACTGGCCTACTTCCTTGCCAAGGTTATCTCAGTCTTTCCTCGTATGGCTCTTGGATGTTTGCACTTCACCGTGCCGCTGTTCCTGCTGTCGGTACCTATCGTGGACTGGGGCCTGGCATTCCTCACAAATGTGCTGTACTTCTACTGCATTTATGGTCTGGCAAGCATCATAAGCATGGTTGTCCGCCGAGAAGATGCACCATTGTTTGCGACCATGATTGCCCTCATCACTGGTATTCTCTCCGGTGCCGCGCCTCCGTTAGCATCCGTTCGAGGTTGGCATATGGAGTGGTTGTGGCGAGCGTCTCCTGCGACATGGTTGGCGGAATTGTATTTTGGACAACTCGTGGCACCTTTCTCGTATCTCTACTCCGTTGACATCGCAGCCGAGGTCACTGGATATCATCTCGACCGCAAGTGGCTCAACATTGGTGTTTTGGTAGCAATTGGAACGGCTTATCGAGTGCTTGCCTTTGCCGGTATGGTTCTTGGACATCGGCTAAGGAGATAGAGTATGGGTAGATATCCTGGAACTTGTTAGCGTTGTGTAATATTGAATGTTGAATTGAATTACCTTATGTTTAATGGTGAGAAATAACAGTGAAAATTGTACTGTTGATAGTGATGGTAATTTGGTACCGCCTTCCATTGTCTGGCGAGATTGGAATAGCAGGAAACAGAGATTCAAGTATAATCAAGAGGCATTGTGAACTGGGATTTCTTATTAAAGTGTGACGGAAAAGAAATTCAATTGACGATCAAATCAACCTGTTTGCTCCTTCTATCTCTTGTCGCCTTGAGGTCAGTTGGAAGGTACTACCGTACTCGCCTGCCAGCCCGGCCTGCCCGGCCTGCCAAATACTCGTGCATACCCCGCGCAATAATCCGTAAAATGCGACTTCTAGAAAACATCTTGTCATTGAAGTTGAGTTGAAATTTCGAAACGAACAACCTGTCAACAAGCCATGACGCATCAATATCTGCTGGTGGGTGATCAATTGGTACGTCTGTTCGTATAGTGGGCTGCCTGCCTGGTCTCTAACAGTTTCAGGGTCTTCACCCTTTCTCTTGTTACACATCCCTGCAAATCTCGACAATGACAATGCAACGTCGAGCGGCTGGATCACCAGTCGTCAAACGCGGCAGCACGCAATAGCGTTTCGGGTTCCATGCTCCGTGCTCCTTCAGGGTTTCACTACCGAACGTTTCAAGACTTTGAAGCATAGGCCTGTCGTTGCCTATCGACTGGGAAACAACGGGAAACGAAACTCGACGGTGCAGAGCCAAATCGATCTACCAACCAACCAACCATATCTTTCATTCAACAAGATGGCACCATCAATCGAAGCAACGCCAACCAACAGGTTCGCCCGTTCGAGGAGCCAAGTACATCACTAGTGCCAGTACGGCAAGTGGGAGAGGAAACATCAAACTTTCTATGGAAATCGGAATAGAAACGCAGCCAAGGGCAGAGTAAAAATGTATAAGTGAGCATCGGCCAATGTATTCCGAACGAATCGGTCAGTCACCGTTGGTAACGAAGGATCATGTTGAGGCGGCGCGGGGGCACAAATCTCTTTGATGAATCCTCCTCGGTTGTTCCCCCACACATCCCGTCGGTTATTGTATTAGCTGGCAATCATCTTGATATCTGGCTCTGGCACACTTCGACGTCGGTCAACCAGGGTTATGCTGGGTACGTCAGCAGTGGAGGTGATACCACATGAAATTTACCATTTTGGTTTGTTCTGATGCCGTTTCTTGATGGAACCTGGAACATCAAGGCCGATCAGCTCGTTGCAAGCGCCGAGGTTACTCAATACAGCCATCATGTCTGCATCTGCATGTATCATATTGACCTGAACTATTGGACTGACCGACTGTCGAAAACATCTCCGCGTGAGAAGTATGGCGTCAAGACATCGGCGCCGGCACGGTTAGTGCAATGGGGAGAGACCGTTGACGCGGGTCTAGACTATCCAGTTCTTTGAATTCGGTTGTCGAGGCCCCTGACGATCTAGCAACAATAGAAAGGCCGCTACGGAACATGTCGTGTTGGAACCGGGTACCAAGCGCCGAATATCTTTTCGTCGTAGGTTTCGAGCCGTCGAAGGACGCCTCATCATACATCATGTCGCATCGCTCGATTGTTCAAAGTTTCAAGCACTTGCATATTGAGAATGTTGGTTTAGACCCAAAGGCAGGTTATCAGTGCCCACTCACACTTGGCATCGAACTCATGCCATGGCTCACTCACTTATTCACTCGGCTGCATATGAATTTGCCCCGGGACAAGGTAAATCAAAGTGAGCCTTTATTTTAAAATCGAGCAGCTTGGACCCCAGGCAGGATCAAATCAAATTAGATTGACTGGCCGTCGCGTGCTCATGGAATTACGATTTCAAGCATGGGCCAACTGACACTATGAGTTTATAGGGCACACCAACGGTGAACTAACGAGCTCTGGGCTGTTGGTCGTCTCGGCTCCCCGCTTCTGTCGTTTGTTGCTAGGGGCCTGGTGGAGATGAGGGGCTGAAGGCTGAAAGGCCCCTGCTGTGTCATTCAACAAAAAGACGACGCCTGTGAAGTTGGTTACGGATGATTACGCTCGCAGCGCTGAGTGGAGAAAACGAGCATCTCTGATGCTGTCGAGCATCAATCGTGTTGCCAAAAGACAAGATATCTCTCGGTGATTGGGCGAGAGCATAATGATAAGACGCGGCATGCATAGGCACAGTACAATACCAAGAAGATGCAGTGCATTACAGTACTGTATGTGCTCTATACCAAGTACACCATCACATAGAATCCTTCTCGAGAGTCCAGACCAACAATCATCGATATCGCTTGACGAGATAGTAGCGTATCTTTCAACTCTGTCACGCAACCACCAGCGACTTCAACACCACCTTTACCACATGGACAAGCCCGCTACGGAAAAGCGAACCCACCATCCCGCATTGGCGCTACATTCTACTGTGCATAGAGGCATTTCTGTTGTCTAGCCTCCCACGATAAAGACGAAGCCAGACAGTCGCAGACAGACGGACACGGCCCAACACTTGCCAGGGATGAGCCAAGGGCCCAGGGATCCGGCTTCGAACGCCCATGACAGCGACAGCGCCGCAAGATGCAAGGATCTTAATGCAGAGTCTGTCGCGGCGCATTCGAAAGGGTAAGAGACGCTACGGCCACCAGAGCGTCGGGTCGTTCCTAAGCCTATTTATCGACTTGCAGGAGCTGACGACCCTGACCCTGCCCTACCTTGCCGTAGACTTCTCGAAACTTTGAAATCTCTTCGTCCTCCCCCGGACTTGTCTCGAGCTATTTCTTTCTTCTCTCCCTCTTCCTCGCTCGAGCTTGTGTTTGTCAAAACATAGCTATACCTCAACTTTATAATCACATCATATTATACTACTATTTTATTCGATACCCTTGTTCTCTCTTCGGTCGACTTTGTTTCTGAAGGCTGGCCTCCTTCTCTCGTCCTTTACTACACTTCTTATCTTATTGTTCTTTATCTACCTACCTACGTTAGTCTAATACGCCGTTTCAACCATGGCTACCTACACCACCATGGAAGGTCCTCAGCACATTGCTATTCGAGAGCTCGACTTGAGGACCTGCCACCCAAGCACAGTGGTTGACAGAGTTGGTGCTGTTCCGGTTTTGAAGACAAGTGCTGGTAAGTTCCTACTTCTCATGTCTTGCTTTGCTCTTCGTTGCTTGGACCCTGTAAGAGCTCCCTGTCGTTCGGTTACCGTGGCCACCACCAAGGCCTACCCCAGTCACCATACCTTTGCAGGGTTGAGCACACGACAGAAGGCTGCATTCAGCCTAGGGTTGCTTGGTACGAGCTCAACATTCGACAAGAAGCTATTTTCGTATACAGCTTGATCAAATCATGAATATTGAGGTGGAACTATTGCTGCCGGTTTTCATCATGAGTGTCGGGATACCCAACGAAGAGGGAAATCAGCAAGACTACCATGCTTGAATAAGACACCATGGCTAATATCACGACTTACAGCTTTCTTCACATTCCTCCGCGCCAACCTTGTCCTTCACTCGGCAATGACTTCAGCCACCAGCACTCCACAATTCGGTCCATCTGTGCCTTTCGCTTCTTTCGTCCCGCCATCGCCTTCTCCGCTTGCAGCTTCCACTCCATACTTTGGACTCGACGACGACGATGATGTTGAGCCGTTGTCTCTCGAGGTCCTCGACAAGCCTCAGGACAAGGTCGAAGGCATGCGCCTCGTAGCCGACTCAATTGCTCAGATGCGCCAGCGGGCCTCACTAAACCTCGTTTTCCACCCAATCTGTCTCGCCGGCCTATCAGCTGCCCTTGCAACTATTTACCACTTCAGTGGTGTTTCTCGCGATTCAGGACTTGGCATGACGGTCTCTTGTGGTGTCATCATGAGCTACCTCATGGGTATTCGCTACTTGGCCAATGGTTACATCTCTTTAGCTGAACGGCTCCGATGGAACTGGCTACGAGCCGACGATGGAGAGGAGGATACCCTGCTAGCCGCCCGTCTCAACCAAGACATTATTGGAACCCTTGTTCTTCGCCTCGAACCAAGCCCGACATCCAACCACAGACGAAGACGGTCGCTTTCTCTCCGAGGAGGCAAGGGTGTTATTCGCGCCTGGACCACCAACCTCAACTATCGTGGAAAGGGTGTTGGAAAGGATCTGCTTCAAGAAGCTGTGCGCGTTACCAGGGAGAAGTGTGGAAAGGATGCCGAAGTTGGATTCGCCCAGGAGCATGCCAACAGCGCCATGCTGCTCCCTGGCATCTTCAATGCGCCTTTCCGACGTGACGAGGTCCGAGCCACCAGGGCCTTGGATGGCATTCTGTCCAACTGGGACTTGATCAAGAGAAGGAGGTAGATGATACACTTCACGAGCGACAATCCAAACACATGATGGGATATTATGATCCCCGACGAGTTCATTATGCAAGAACTAAACCGAAATACGAGAGGACGCTGAGGAGAAGAATGGACGATGATGAGAAGAAGATACCAAGACTGCGATAAACGAATACCCCAGAAAACGATACAGCCGACGGAAAGAAGATACAAACAGCAATCAACAGATCACATAAAGATACCACTAGAAGACAACGGGTCATGCTACAGTATAGACTCCGATTTACAGGAGAGATGGATGGCTTTGCAGGAGGGAAGCATTTAATGGCGGGAGCACTACTCTTTACTTTTCTGATTTCTTTTTCATTTTTTGATACCTCACCTACCTGTACTGTCACTTGAGATACCCCATATTTCTATCGTTTAGGAAGTTCATAATTATATGTTCATGATATAGCATGATCATGAATCAATCAATCTTTTTGTTTCTTAAGAACATCCTATGCTTTGTCATTTGTAGTACATTTGTCTCCCTCTGAAGATAGTAGAGCTGAAAGTAATACATACAACCATCTCTTATCTCACCTTCCTGGTATAACCTCGGGGTATCATCAAGCCCCCAAAAACATGGGATAAGAAACATTTTGATCGCTCTATATGTTCAGAGTGCATGTCTATCCATGCTTAAGAGTTGCCTGTTCCTTGTTTACTACCTAGTGTTGGACAGTGATGATACCTGCCAGTTCAGTGCTTGACAGTGATTCAGGATCGCGGTCACGTGGCCTGGCGACGACGCTCAGCATGAGAATGATGCATCGCGACTCAATCCACCACCATAACAAACCCACCACACTGCTCGCTCCTTTTCAAACACGAAACTGATTAACCTGCTGCATCTTTTCTCGGGTTTTTTTTTTTTTTTTTTT